ACCACACTACCTGAATTTTCTCAGCAAGCTTTCTAAAACCTATTCCACGGAAAGAGCTGCTTCACTTCTATTGGCTTTATTGTTTCATTTTCTTTACCCCATCACTGTCAAGCCAGATTTTTTTTTTCCAGGTATATGATAATCTTTCTTGCTAACTGTGTTTTGCCTGACAAGATGTTTCATTCCACTAATTGTTCATCGTTATCTTGTATAATGTCTTTAGAAGAAGCATTGTGCTTTAATGATGTTAACTCTGGTGGTTCTCTGACCTATTGTTTGACAGTAACTCGCTTAAAAAAGGTGGGTCGGGCGCCTGAGCTCCAAGAGTTAGAAAAAAAGAAAAAGGTTCCTCCTTCAGAGATAATTTGGACTAATCCCTTAACCAAAAGGCCCAGCTTTTATAGCAGAAAGCAGAGGTTAGAATGGTGATACAGGCAACAGTGACAATTTTAGCTCATACTGTTGTTTGTTAAGATTGTATATATTTGAAATAGAATAATGGGAAGTATTTTCCTAGAAAATGAGATTATGCCCTCTTCTAATAAGTAATAACACAATTTATTGTAATACGGTAGACCTACATAGTTGACTACCTCCTCACATTTACCCTCCTTAAATTGACCTAATTTTCACAGAGCAGACAAGCATTATATGTACTCAATGGATATTCCTTATGTTGACCTCCATAGGTTGAATACTTTGTTAACAGTCCCTTGGGTGGTCAACTTAGAGAGGTTCTGCTATATATGCTTCTGTTAAACACCCTATTAGGCCTTTAATGGACATTTTAGCAATTTCTCACACCAATCCTGTGGGATAAATAGTAAAAATCCTTGCTTCTGTATGCCTTCAGTATGAAGATCCCTAGTCATGTGTTTTATTTATTCTTTGGATGATTTATATAAATACTGTGATTTAACGTTTTTCTTGATTTATTTCTTAACTGTTAGGCAGGAAAACCAGTCACCTCTTTAGTACATTACTCAAGTGAGGGCACAGAGAAATTCTTTTCTCTAGTCTTAGAACAGCATTCAAACTAGGCCTATTAGTACTGAATTTTAGAACTCTTAAGTGAGCAGTGGATGGAAGCATTTAATCCTGAATTACTATGATGCAAGATCATTTATTGTGTGGATTTTTAAAACTTTCTTCAAATAAGAGAAAAGGTCTTGAGTTGGGGCAAAGGATGGGAAGAATGTGTATCTAAGAGCATGAAACTTTGTGTTCTATTACTTTTCCTCTTTTTCTTTCTCCCCCTTAGTATTATAAAATTTTATTAGCTTAAATTTTATACTTACATCTTTCCTATTTTCAGATGAGGAAGTCCTCTTTGTTCTTTGTTCTTTTTTTTTTTTTTTGAGACAAAGGCTCACTTTATCGCCCTCGGTAAGAGTGCTGTGATGTCACAGCTCACAGCAACCTCCATCTCCTAGGCTTAGGCGATTCTCTTGCCTCAGCCTCCCAAATAGCTGGGACTACAGGTGCCCCACCACAATGCCTGGCTATTTTTTTGTTGCAGTTTGGCCAGGGCTGGGTTTGAACCTGCCACCCTCAGTATGTGGGGCTGGCACCCCACCCACTGAGCCACAGGCTCCACCCTCTCTTTGTTCTTAATTGTTAAATAAGTAAGTCATTACTTTTTTTTTTGCAGTTTTGGCTGGGGCTGGGCTTGAACCCACCACCCCCAGTATATGGGGCTGGCACCCTACTCCTTGAGCCACAGGCACCACCCAAATAAGTTATTCTTAAAGAGAGGATTAAAAATTGTTATTTAGGCTGAAGCCTATGGCTTAAGCGGCTGAAGTGCCAGCCACATACACCAGAGCTGGCAGGTTCGAATCCAGCCCGGATCTGCCAAACAATGACAACTACAACCCCAAAATAGCCAGGCATTGTGGCAGGCGCCTGTAGTCCCAGCTACTTGGGATGCCAAGGCAAGAATATCACTTAAGCCCAGGAGCTGGAGGTTGCTGTGAGCTGTGATGCTATGGCACTCTACCCAGGGCGACAGAATAAGGCTCTGTCTCAAAAAAAAAAAGAAAAAAAGAAAAAATTGTTATTTAGCTATATCTGTCAGTTAGGCCCTGACTGGAGCTTTGGATAGCCTCTAGGGTGCTGTGCAGATAAGTTGTGCTTTTCTAAAGCTTACCGAGTCATCAAGAAACACATAGAAGGCTCGGCCCCCATACTTCAGTGGTTAGGGCGCTGGCCACGTACTTCGGGGTTGGCGGATTCAAACCCAGTCTGGATCTGCTAAACAACAATGACAACTACAACAACAAAAACAGCCAGGCACTGTGGTGGATGCCTGTAGTCCCAGCTAGTTGGGAGGCTGAGGCAAGAAAATTGCTTAAGCCCAAGAGTTTGAGGTGGCTGTGAGCTATGACATTACAGTACTCTACCAGGGGTGGCATAGTGAGACTCTGATTCAACAAAAGAAGAAAAGAAAGAAAGAAACATGCGGAAATGGAATTCACTGATTAGACTTAGAGAGAATAGATGAAGTTAAACTACCAAAGACTAATGAAGTCTGGTATTGCATTGTTAGATACAGTTATCTTCTGTGGACTTTTCTTACCCTAGATGGCATGACAAGTAAAATATAGTGGCCTGTACTAATGGAAGTTTGAAGGAAGCTGCTTTATATCACTATTGCTTCTATTTTATGTCATCTTCCCATTTCTTCTTTCATTACATCAGGGACCCAGTCAGAAAAAGAGGGCTGGAAAAACGTGGGGAAGACTTTAAAAAGGAGGGGAAGATATATAGATTGAGGACTCAAGATGATGGTGAAGATGAAAACAACACTTGGAATGGAAATTCTACTCAACAGATGTAGTGTGACAAGTACAGTATGTGCAATAATCATTGTTTCTCTTATGATTTAATTCAACTAAAATTCTACTGGAGAAGTGGGACTGCTTTATGTTTTTGAACTGATTTATAAAGTGTCTCTTTATTCCTGCTTAGTGGGTATGGGTTAAACTCGTTTAACTTAGAAAAGTCAAGACATAAAATAACTGGCTGCTGGGTCCTTGCATTTGGTAACCACTGCTAGAAGCCTAAACAAATCAAAAGGCCTGCCACACCTGCCTCCATCTGCTTCTTAGTATTTCATATACTCTTTACCCCTGTGCTCTTAGACGACACATTTTATTTAGAATGATTTTGTTCCGAGACTCTTAAGCCCACACAAAGTAACTGGTATGTTACTGAGTAATTTGACACCAAGTCAGAGCATTTTAACTAGCCAATCAGATGATAATTTATGTTTAACTTTTCTTTTTCCTTATCAGCTGCAAGCAAAACCTTGTAGGTTTTAATCTTACTTAACATTGAATAAAAAATCTTTTTCCAAAAATCAGAATGATCTTATTTTTACTTTAAGTTTTGTTATCCTAGCATCTTTTTATTGCACAGGGCTCTTTTGAAGTCAGGTGTCTCTGATTCCCCCCCCCCCCAGTACTGCCCTGGAGCCATGCCAAGAATGTAGCTGGCCACCTTAATCACTGAAGAAAGATATTTTCCGATGTACTGATGCCACACTGCTGTCTCTCCTAAGCTAGTGAGGTATCACTTTGTTTGCATAAAGTTAGAGTTTGTTAAGGTCTTTGTTCTCATCAGGTAGAAAACAGAGGCTAGTCCACAACCTAGTTTTCTCTCTCATCCTTATACTGAAGCTTTATTCTCAATAATCATACTTCAAGGACCTAAAGTACCTGTAGGACAAGAAGTGTAGAATAAAGACATGCCTTTATTCATTTGCTAATTCTTAAGAATTGAAGGAGATGCCGAATCTGACTTACATGCTTTCTCCATAATGTTTTTTGTAGTGAACTAGCTAGCAATGTTTGGAAACAGTTCATCTGTTTTAGATTGGAAGATAACACTCTTGAGCAAACATATGGAAGGACTCTGACTTTATTTTGTAATGGGTGGAAGAAATTTTCTCAGCAAACTTTGTTTTTCATTTATGAAATAGCAGTAAGTTTTAAAAATGGCAATAGTCATTTTTGGCAAGGAAACAGTGAGACAGACTATTCTTTTGGTAGAAATGAAACCAGCATAATCTTTCTGAAAAACATTTTTCAGAAACTTTAATATTTCATATTCTTTGATCTAATAACTTTCTAAAGAGTGATCATAAATGCAGACAGTGTTTAGATATAAATTGATACTCATTAAGTGTTATTTATTTTACTCAAGAACTGGAAACCAACGAAATTCCTTCTGCAGAAGTAATTAAGTTTTGATGATGAGAAATCAATGGTATAATACTAATTATCAATTCAGTTTTCTATGTTTATTGAGCACCTGTTATCTGTTGGGGGAAAAGAAGCAGGAGTTAGAGCTGGAGAGGGTGAACTCAGCTTTGTAAACACATTTTCTATATAGATAGTTGTAGGTATTAATATATATGTAAAGAAACAAGAAAACACACCAAAACATTCATAGTGGTAAGAGTGTTACATGCGACTTTAGTAGGTTTTTTGCACCTTCCTATTTTCCCAGTTTTCTTCATTGACCATATACTATTTCCATAACTTAAAAAATGAGTTTGAAAAAGAAAATCTCTCTAGCAAGCATCCCATTTAAATAAAAGTTTGTCATCTTTAAAAATACAGCAATGTGATTGTTTTAAAGGCCTATCAATAGGTGTGACCCTACTAATAATGGTTAGAAATACATTTGAAAAAACATCAAGTACTTTAAGTCAGTTTGGCTTAAAAAATACCAAATTTAAATCCTAGAGAAATGTACCTGAAAGAATGCTTCATAATTTTTGAGTAGGAGCATCCGTCCTCAATTTTGTATTTTTTAAGTACACATGGTAAAAAATTCAAAACAGTGTATAAATGAAAAGGTCTCCCTCTTCACATCCTAACCCCCAATATTATTCTCCAAAGGTAATCTAGTTAACAGTTTCTTATGTAATTTTCAGAAAATTTTTATGCGTATATAAGCAAATATGTAATCTTTATTTTTTAAATAAATGGGATCATATTGTATATACTACCCTGCATCTTACTTTTTACTTACATAATCTTGATCTGTATCAAAACATAGCTGCTTCCTTCTTACTAATGGTGGCATATCATTTTACTTGATGAATGTACTCCATACTCTGCTGGCATTCAGTGGTTATCATAAATTTCTTTTTTGTTTTTTTTTCTATTAAAAACATGGGGGGGGGTGGTATATTCTTTTTTTGAAAATGTACCTATAAGGTAAGTTTGTATAACTTACTAAGTCAGAGGGTCTTTGCAGTTTGGATTGTATAAGATGCTGTCAAATTGCCTCCTCTAAAGGCTATCTGAATTTGAACCCCCACCAGTAGTGTATGAAAATGTGCATTTCCCAGCTTGTCATCCATAGCACAGTGGTTACACCATTGGCCACATACACCGAGGCTGGTGGGTACACCCAGCCCCAGCCAGCTAAGCAACAATGACAACTGCAACAGAAAAATAGTTGGGCGTTGTGGTGGGTCCCTGTAGTACCAGCTACTTGGGAGGCTGAGGCAAGAGAATCACTTAAGCCTAAGAGTTTGAGATTTCTGTGAGCTGTGATGCCACAGCACTCTACCTAGGGTGACATAGTGAGACTCTGTCTCAGAAAAAAGAAAATGTTCATTTCCCCACACCCTTGCCAACACTGTATTAACATACTTCTTTTTTTTTTTTTTTGGAGACAGAGTCTTAAGCTGTTGCCCCCAGTAGATTGCCATGGCGTCACAGCTCACAGCAACCTCAACCTCTTAAGCTATTCTCTTGCCTCAGCCTCCCAAATAGCTGGGACTACATGAGCCTGCCACAATGCCCAGCTATTTTTTTGTTGTTGTTGCTGCAGTTGTCATTGTTTTTAGCTTGCTGTCCTGAGTTCAAACTCACCAGCCTTGGTGTATGTGGCCAGCATCCTTACCCACTGACACCACCTAACATACTTTCTCATCTTTGTCAGCATGATAAATAAAAATTTGACATTCATTGTATTTATCACACATGAGCTTGTGCATCTTTTTTTCAGATAGAGATTCACTCTGTGCCGTGGCATCATAACTCACAGCACCCTCAAACTCCTGGCTCAAGTTATCCTACCTGGCTAATTTTTCTGGGTTTTGTTGTTGTTGTTGTTGATGTTAGTAGAGATGGGGGTCTCTCTCTTGCACAGGCTGGTGTCAAGCCCCTGAGCTCAAGCAATCCTCCTGCTTCAGCCTCTCAGAGTACTAGGATTACAGGCACAAGCCACCATGCCTGACTTAAAGTTGAACATCCTTTTCTTTTTCTTTCTTTTTTTTTTTTTTTTTTGGAGACAGAGTCTCACTTTGTCACCCTTGGGGTAGAGTGCCCTGGTGTCACATCTCACAGCAACCTCAAACTCTTGGGCTTAAGTAATACTCTTGCCTCCGCCTCTCAAGTAGTGAGACTACAGGCGTCTGCCGCAAAGCCCAGCTGTTGGCTCGGCGCCTGTGGCTCAAGTGGCTAAGGTACCAGCCACATAACACCTATAAGATGGTGGGTTCAAATCCAGCCCAGGCCCACCGAACAACAATGATGGCTGCAACCAAAAAATATCCAGGTGTTGTGGCAGGCGCCTGTGGTCCCAGCTACTTAGGAGGAGGAGGAGGTGGGAGACTCGCTTGAGCCCAGGAGTTGGAGGTTGCTATGAGTTGTGATGCCACATCACTCTACCCAGAGGGACAGCTTGAGGCTCTGTCTCAAAAAAAAGCCCAGCTGTTGTTTTTGAGACGGGGTCTTGCTCTTGCTGGTCTCATATGAGCTCAGGTAATCCACCTGTCTTGGCCTCCCAAGTACAGGGATTACAGGCGTTAGTTACTGTGCCCGGCCTGAACATCTTTTAACGTTCTAATCATTTTGACTTGTTTTGAGAACTGTGGATTTGCCCATTTTTATTTCATTTTCATATTTTTTTTTTTTTTTTT